GAATTTATTTCCCTTCTCTCGAATGCATGAAATAAATCACCAAACTCACATAATTATTGTGCACTATAATCATGGAGAAAATAAGATCATATAAATCATTCAAATATTCCAAAACTTGTTTTTCATGTCAAGAATGTAAAACTAAGAATTAAAAATCATATTATATAGTTCATCTAACTTTAATACAAAATTAATTTAGTGTAGCATGGTAGAACAAAGAGAATTAGAAAACTCAATGAAGAATGAAATCACCAATATGATTTTCGAATTAAATCTTCGTGTCGTGATGTTGTTCCTCTCGTTCGTGCCTCTTTTTCTCTCTAAAAACCCTTGTGTATCTCCTCCCCCACTTTCTGGACGACTTTAGGGTTTAAATATACATCCTAAGATTTGTTTCCAAATGTGTTTTAGTTGAAAAAGGAAACCAGAATTTTTGTCAAAATTTTATATTATGCGACCGCATAGTGTACTTCTATGCGGTCGCATAGAAGTGTTAGGATGTCCTCTTATTTTTGTTGGAGGTCTCTATGCGATTGCATAGCTTTTTAAGCTATGCGACTGCATAGTGATGTTACTTTACAAAATCTTCCGATTTAGTCCTTAAACTTCGTCACTCCAACCTCTACCTTTTTTTCCCATGTCTTTTTCATCCAATGTGTGCTCGACATCTTCACGTCTCCACTTTTTCTTCTTTGTTATCTTTCGATTATTTGCATATTGGTCCCTGAATTTTGGTTTTCTTTCATTTTAGTCTTTTTTTTTTCCATTTTTCTCCTAATTTCTGTCATATTCATCAGTCTTGTCCAGCAAAACACAAATTATATCGAATTAAGTTATATTTAACATAGTTATTAACAATTATCCATGTTCGTGGCCCAAAATATGCGTGTAAAATGCACTCATCATTTGTCTTAGTCTATAAATTAAAAGACATACAGAACTTTCGGTTTATGTATATAAGATGTCTTTCAAGACTAACAAATAATTATTTATTATTATTTATTTTTTATATCTACGCTATTACATAGTCAACTACACCATGGCACGTGCGTCTGACTAGTTATGGAATATAACACTTGGGAACCAAACACAAGCTGTTTTTTCTCCCAACAGTTGCACCGAAGTTCTCAGTCATGTCAAAGTCTTCCGGGGTAATGCCATCCGGAAGTTTCCAGTCGAAGTGATAGAGGAGTCGAGCTAAAATCAGCTCGACATTGGCTACGCCAAATGAAATTCCAGGACAAATCCTCCTGCCAGAACCAAATGGTATTAACTCAAAGTCATTTCCTGTGTAGTTAATCGAAACTTTGCTGAATCTTTCAGGTTCAAAAGTCTCAGGTTCATGCCAATACTCAGGATTTCTTCCAATGGCCCAAACATTTATGAGGCCTATGGTTTCATTAGGTATATCATATCCATCAATCTTGCGTTCTTCCCTGAATTTTCTAGGACCCAACAATGGAAGAGGAGGATGTATCCTCAATGACTCTTTGATCACCATTTTCAAGTAATTTAGTTTCTGAATATCAGAATTTGAGAACTTTTCGTTTTCTCTAAAAGCTTGCCTCACTTCTGCTTGTGCCTTTCTCATCACTCTTGGATTCTTCATCAGTTCTGCCATTGTCCATTCTACTACAGTTGATGATGTATCCGTTCCAGCGGTGAAGAGTTCCTGCACTTTATTAATAAGAAAAAAAGGAAAAAGAGCAAAAAACACTAATATAAGATTTACTTACAAAAATGTTGGCTTTGATGACCTCTCTGGTAACAACAATCTGAAATTCATTATCCTCCTTAAGGCGTAGGAAAACGTCGAGTAAATCTTCTTCAAATGGCTCATTCCCTCTCAAGTTTAGTCGATCCTTCTCGTGTTCGTGGATTATGTCCTCTAGAATATTGTCGATCTTCTTATGCAACTTAGTCAATTGCCTTTTCGTCCCAAAGAGGGAGTCGAGTAGTTGCAGCGAAGGAAAAACATCTCCGGCATTAAAAACTCCTGCAAATATGATAGCTTGTTTTGCCAAACTTGATATAATTTCTTGATTTTTGCATCTTCGACCAACTGCAGCCCTACAAAAGTGTTAACTTATTTATTAATACTCAAAAATAAAGAAAAAGAACATAGTTTGAAGGTGCACATGACCTCACCTGCAAGTTACTGTACTTGTTACAGATGAAACTTTTTCGGTCAGATTAATTGGAAATCCTTCTAAAGATCGAACATTGTTTACAAGATTCGACACTTCTTCCTCCATAATCGTGTAAAATGATTTTACTTTTTTCGAGCTTAGAAGTTCCATAATGAATAATTTACGCATCTGTCTCCAGTATTCACCATATGGAGAAGAAGAAAGATCTACATAATTGTAAAAAACGATCTTGGATAAGAGAACCAATGGTCTATCTGCAAATGCAAGATCATTCTTTTTCAAGGCTTCTTCTGCTAAATGAGGAGACGATATAACAATTGTAGAGAGTTCACCAATCTTCAAATGCATGATTGGACCATATTTTTGTGCTAACTTTTGGAAAGAACGATGTGGTAATGAACCTAGAAGTTGATGCAAGTTCCCTACAAAAGGGAGCTTCCATGGTCCAGGGGGCAATTTCTTAGCAGTTTTTGATGATCTTTTGTACTCCTTAATCAACGCGAAAATAAAGAACAAGAGTATTAGAAAGAAAATGGTGAAAGAAAATGGGAACTGCATTTCCATTGAAGATAGTGGAAGATTATTGCTACCTGCTAGTATCAGCTAACCTGCATATTTATTTATAGACATGAATATGTTACACTCTCAATTTTGGGTCCCTACACGTGTTTTACACCTTTGTGTGTAACGTTTTCAAGTGAAGTACCATAAATAATATGTTTGGTTAAAAGGGTAATTATATAATTACCTCCTGCGAATTTTGTTAATTACACTACAATTTTAAGCTCTTTTTTTTATTTACTTAAATAGCCTTAAGTAAAATTACAGAAATGGGGTTTTAGTATATTTATCAAATAAAACAATTTATTGTTCAACTACAATCATAAACCTAGTTTTTTACAATTTATTGTTCCACCACAATTATAAACCTGGTTTTTTTCTTTCTTTTCCCTCAACAACCGTGCCATGGTTTTTCCGTTGATGACTTTTGTATTCCTTTTCTACAAGATCGACAGGCTTGGATGACTTTGTTGACACAATCTCTTCTGCATTTTTAAACACTCGATCGGGCAGGGAAATCTTTATCCACGATAAAGATTGACATAATTAAGTATAGCAGAGCAATGGTACACAAAAAAGAAGTGTTCTTAAGCCAATAATTCTCCAGTAAATCAAAGGCCACAAACTCTAACTCAGTGAACTGAGAAACAATCAAAATAAAAAAATAAAAAGAAAAATTACAACCATTTGTAATAGAGATGATTTCAATTGTAAAATAAGTATCTATCTATAGTGTTCGTAAGCCGTTAACTCTCCGGTAACTCAAAGGCCACGAACTATAATTCAGCGATCTGAGAAACAATCAAAATAAAAAATAAAAAGAAAAAATTACAAGCATTTATAACACAGATGATTCCAATTGTAAAATAAGTATCTATCTATATGGAATATATATAAGTGTTCTTAGCTTGTTGATAAAAGGAAGATGAAGTCTGGTGTGAGGCTTTCTATCAAGTTTGTGTCTTTCAAAAAATTCAGAATGAAGAGAATAATGAAAAATATTGAGATGATAAGTATGCCAAAGTACTGCATTTTCTTTTTCATTTTTAGTTTTTATTGGATTAGAAGTATATTGATAAATTTATTGTGCCGTATTTATTGAAAATATATTTCAATTGTGGTGTGATTATAATGTGGTGCAATAAATAAATTTTGTGGTGGTAATATAATTTAATTAAAAATTAATTTTTTAGTAAATTTTGATAAAAGTTGACGAAATGTGTGGTTGAAAAGTAAATAAAAATTGCGAGTTCCATAAAATGTATGGTAAAATTAACTGTTAATTTTGATTTAAATTTTTACCACCATTTTCAGCTAAACCAAATAGGCCGGCGGGGGTAAGTCTCAAATATTAGAAAGGTTGTATTCAAAAGGACAAAAAAAAAAAAAATGTCATTGTTCAAAAAACTTTACTTTCTATGCCCCTGTTTGTTCTGCATTGTAGCCTCATTTTTTATAAATTTTCTACCCGTTATTTTCCACAAACATGGCCCACCATCACACAAAGGCAATCAATAATTGTAGGCTGCTTTACCTCCAACGGTATTAATATTTCTACTNCCGTTCGGGAGGGCTTAAAATCCAATTAAAATTGAAAATATGGTCGTTATTGGGTCCCACCCGTCTAATAAAAGTCAACAATAACGGCTATATTTTCAATTTTAATCTGATTTTAATCTCTCCCAAACAAACTCATAAAATTCATTTTTTTTTTACCTCTTGTGGATATAAAACAAGATTTTCTGTCGAAAAATGCAATTTGTATCTCTTCATTGGAGATATTTTGGTCACTTTGAAAATTTAAATATCTATCTTACATCATAATTGGAGATGCTCTTGACATTAAACTTGCAGAAAGAACGACATGTTGATTCATAGTTTTCAAAAATTCAATGCTGCCTTCCTTGAAATATCGGCCATTTCCGTTCTCCTTTCTTACGTCTTCTCCTATCTTTATTTCTATATTATGATTTTATTTTCTGAAGCTGCCACTCACATCACTGTGTGCATAAAAAGATAAAACAAAAAGAATAATAATAGGAAAAATCAGCAAGCCCACATAATGAACTATGGAAGTTCTCCATTTTATTCTGAAGTTTTTCTTTGTTATTTTATTGGTAGATTACGATCTTATCCCCCACCCCCACACACACCCCACCAAAAAAAAAATGGAAGCCTAATCACCCATGGCCATCAATAATTGAAAATAAAAATAAAATTTCTTACCGCACAAATCAAGTCTAGAATTGATGACAATCGGGCTACATTTTGTCCAAAGGAACGTCTTTGTATTTTAGCCTTTGGTAGCCAATAAAAAGAGTTTTTTTTTGTGGGGGGCGGGGGGTGGTATTTTTTTGGAAAAGACGTGGTTAAAAAGTAAAAAAATATTTTGAGTTTAAGCAAAATATTATTACGTGAATGTGGTTGAAAATAAGTTTGAGAAAAAATAGTTATTTAAAAGGTCTAAGCTAAGAGGCTTGATAGAGCAAATGTGAGATGTACGGGGGCGAGGGCCGGGGGGGGGGGGGGGGGTTTAATGATGTGGGTCCTATGTGAGAGCTCAGCTCTACCAGGCCTTTTACAGGCCTGG